GCTGTTTTTACATTTCTGCAGTGTTTGTGTTTAGCTATAATTTTCCTCTTACTCATTTACTGTACCTACACATATTATATACATATTATATCTAGAGCAGCCAAAAAACACCCATGCTAAATGGTTTGTACATTTTATCCTACGTTTAGAAATACCCAATATTAACATGTTCTTAGCTTTTTTTTTGTGCAAGTTATAGAACAAGAAGTACAAGTAGCACATTGCTATTTCCAAACCATTTTATTATTTTTTTCAAAATTAACAAAAGTTACATTGTAGCATTGGTATCTGTCAGGAATCCCTGAATAACCCTTCACATGTATGTATTTGTTAAAAGAAGACTACCTAAGGTATTAAACATGGGGTATTTTGATTCTTTTCATGCACCCATTTTACCACCAATCTATGCCAAATTAAAAACAAATAATAATAATTGGTGATTTGTTTGACACATATCAATTTAAGAATACATGTACTGAGAACTTTAAGGGTTACTGCCAAAGAACAACCAATATGTGTTCAGCAACATCTCCTGAGTACAGTGATACCACCCATGTATAGGTGTTTCGGGTTCTCTGAGGGCCTTACTTGGAGGGTGCTCATTCCAGTTTTTCCAACTAGGAATTTTCACAGCTGGTCATGCACCCATGTCCTGTCTGGGACCTTTTTAAAGCCCTATTTGGGACTTTTTAAAGGCGGCCAATGTAAATTAAACCCATCAAATCATATGCCCTTGGGTATCGTAAACCTTTCCATGCACTAATTCTACCACCAGTCTGTCAAACTTTTGGGTAGTAATTTTTTTGTGTTTTTTCTCTCACATTGTACTTTAGGCATGGATTTTCAGTTTCTGTTATGTGTTACTGACAAAGAACACCCTGATATGTGTTCAGCAACATCTCCTAAGTACAACAGTACCCCCCAATGTACAGGTTTTAAGGGTTTTTGTAAACTTACAGGGGTCAAATGTAAGGCTTTCCCCTTTTCCATGTTTGCACATTGAAATTTGCCAGATTGGTTTGCTGGGCCTATGTTGCCTTTGAGACCATTTGGCAGCTCAGGAAGGAAAACTAACCTCATCATAGCATGCCATTTGTAATAGTAGAAAACCCACGATATTCAAAATGGGTTATGTCCAGTCTTTTTTAGTAGCCACTTAGTCACGAACGCTGGCCAAATTTAACGTTGTTTTTTGTTTTTTGCATTTTTCACACATAAACTGCCATTTCACAGATGATATTATCAGTATAATACATTTTACTGCTTCAAAACACTCATATTTGTGTAGAGTAATGTCTCACAAATACAACAGTACCTCTGAAGTACAGGTTTTATGGTGATTTTGAAATTAACAGGGTCAAACATAAGATTTGCCAATTTCTGTTTTTATAAATTGCCATTTGCCAGATTGGCTATGTTGCCTTTGAGACGGTATGGCAGCCCAGAAATGAAAATTAACCCCACCATGACACACCATTTGAAAAAGCAGACAACCCAGGGTATTCAAAATGGGGTATTTCCAGTCTTTTGTAGTAGCCACTTAGCCACAAACACTTGCCAAATTTAGCGTTTATATTTGTTTTTTGCATTTTTTACACGAAAACTGCACTTTTACTGGTGATATCATCGTCGTGATAAGTTTTACTATTTAAAATACTCATATTTGGGCTCAGCAATGTCTCCAGAGTATAACAATACCCTCCATGTAAAGGCTTTATGGTGTTTTGGAAAGTTATAGGGAAAATATACGACTTGCCAATTGAATTCTCTGGACAGTCTGCCTGGGTTGTCAGGCAGGTCTCTTAAATTATAATTAATAAAATCAAATAGTTATGTAGTTAATAGTTAAATATATATGTAGAATGTGTGTCCCCTGGTCCTTAGTGTGCCTCAATGCCACCTCCAGTCATAACATAGGATAAAAGATGAGTGCACTCTGGGGTCTGTATAGGTACAAAAATATGATTTTATTCAGCACAATTGAACATCAACGTTTCAGTTCTACCGGACTTTTCTCAAGATATAAATATAAAAATAAATAAAATGTTTTTTTTCTTTAATATATATATATATATATATATATATATATATATATATATATATATATATATATATATATATATATATATATATATATATATATATATATCTGGTAGGACTGAAACGTTGATGTTCAACTGTGCTGAATAAAATCATATTTTTGAACCTATATAGACTAAAAAACTAATTTGTGAAAATGTGCAGGCAAGCCACTATATAAGGAAAACACTCCCAGTGTCCCTTTAAACACAGTGCACACAAAACTGTAAAATAACTTAGTTAAGATACAGACATAGGGTGCCACTTATCACAAGAAAAAAGTGGAAATAATTACCCTCCAGTAGATGGGCATAAAAGTTTATATAAGGGAAGAAAAAAGAGAGAGCATCATAGGGCAAAACTTTAATAACAAAATGTTAAAATAAAATAAAAGGTAACACTCACAAACAGTGTGGCACAATTGAATAAATCAATATGTGCTTAAAAGCTTGATGCCTCAAAATGGGCTGAATCTCCAGTTGCAGCAGTCAGAGGTGTGGGTCTGGAAACAATCACCAATACAGGGATGGACCTGGATGTTCACCGTCAGGGACTGGATACAATATTTTGGATCAATGTTATTGACTTCTTCAGGAGTTGCTTAGTTTTTATTTATGTTTTTTTTACAGAAGAGTCTCTCATAAAGAGAATCAACTGGATCTCACTTATCACACCCTGAGCATGTATAACTTTTTATTTTCAAATTCAGTACCAAAGGGAAGAGTAGCATACCTCTTTACTCTCATTCCAATGCACTTGTTAGCTCAATTAAATTTCTACTGAACTTATCTGTCCACTGTATTCTTGTTGATACTGATCCTAATTACTTACACAATTTTTGGTTTTCCAATATTGTTAATCTTCCAGATCTCCACCTATTCTACTCTTGATCTTTGTTAATGTTCATCACTTGTCTACATTCATCACTTATCTGTCTCTGTGGCGTAATAAGGGGAGGTGGGGTGAGGTCAGGCTGTGCCAGGTGCCACTAGGTAGGGGGATGCCATGAACCTGGTGTGAGCTGTGTGGCCGACACAACTCACACATAGCCGGGTGACAGGAGTGCAGGGGATGTCACCTAAGTCTCTTCGTTCATTACTATTTTATGTCACAGGTAAGTGGTCCTTCATTGCCTCTATGTTTATCATGGCAGGTTAGTTCAACTGATCAAGGATCACCCGGCTTTATCACTCCTATTGTGGCACGTGCCAAATATACATGTTTCCTCGCCTAGAGCAGGTACCCGGGTGGAGGATTTCATTATTCCCCACCCGGGTCTATTAAAGAAAAAAAGTGGAGGCAGGGGTGGAGCTTACCGAGCAGCTGGAGGGAGCTTAGCAGGAGGTGGAGCTGCAATGGCAGTGGAGGCGGGGTTAAAGCCTATCAGAATCCCCTGGTAACTTCTGCACAGGAAGTAGGAAGCAGGAAGGAGTCCCTGCTTCCCCATCAACTTGACTACAGGAGCTGCACTGTCTCCACTACCCCCTTCCAGCCACAATGGAAAGAGGTAATTGTCTGTGTGCCTGCCTGACTGCCTGTCTGCGTGCCTGCCTATCTGTGTGCCTGCCTGTCTGTATGCGTGCATGCCTGTCTGTCTGTGAGCCTGCCTCTCTGTCTGTGTGCCTGTCTGCCTTACTGCATGACTGTCTGCCTGTATGTGACTGTAAGTTTGTGTATGTGTGACGGTCTGCCTGTACCTGTGTATGACTGTCTGCCTGTTACTGAGTGTGTGTATTTGTATGTGCCTGTCTGCCAATACCTTTGTATGACTGTCTGCCTGTTACTGAGTGTGTGTGTCTGTCTGCCTGTTCCTGTGTATGACTATCTGCCTGTTAGTGTGTGTGTGTGTGTGTCTGTCTGTCTGCCTGTTCCTGTGTATGACTATCTGCCTGTTAGTGAGAGAGAGAGAGAGAGAGAGAGAGAGTGTGTGTGTGGGGGGGGTTTCAGGGATTTTGTAGAAGGGGTCAGGGTTTTTTATTGGGACAGGGGTCTTGTATAAGGGGGCTGACAGGGGTTTTACAAAGTTTACTAATTTGTGCAATACATTAAATTAAAAAAGAGCTCTGGGCTATCCTATTGTTTTTCAGGCAACATCGGCTTATGTATCCGTCAATTACCTGCCAACAAGTGTGGTTATGTGACAGGTTCTTAAGTCACATACTTTAAAGAGGCTCATCATTATAGAATTGTAATATGTTTCTCAATGCTAATAGTTTTAGTTTCACGTTATATGCTGCTAATTATATTCATGCCACCTGGTTTAGTCTAATTGCTTATACTAATCTTCTTGTTCTACAGTGTTACCTCAGTCACTGTTTTAACCCCTCAATTATTTGCAAGGTATATATTGGTTTTGTCACTTATATGTTTTCAACAAATTACCTTACCCATTGTATGGCTCACATGTAAGGCAGATTCCAGCTTTTCAGTGTACACAGCATAGGCGTGCGCACGGGGTGTGCCGAGTGTGCCTGGGCACACCCTAATCCCCGTGCGCACCCCTATGGTTTGAGTCCTGCAGGAACAGCGTTCCTGCACTCTTTTGAGCAGGAACGCTGTTCCTGCAGGCACTCAGTGTCCCCCTGTTTCACCTCTTGCCCCTGTCATGGGAGGGCAAGAGGTGATGATTCCCCCCCCCACCCTGCAGGTCAGCGCGCGGCGAGGGAGCTCTCTGCTCTCTGCTCCCTCTCGCCGCGCGCTGATGCCGGGAGCCGGAATATGACGTCATATTCCGGCTCCCAGCTCCAGCAGACAGCCCGCGCGGCGAGAGGGAGCAGAGAGCAGAGAGCAGAGAGCTCCCTCGCCGCGCGCTGACCTGCAGAGAGGCGCCCGCCCCCACTGGACCCCAGGGACAAGTCCACCAGCACTCCAGGTAGGAGGCTGGGTGGACATTTAAAAAAAAAATTAAAATATAATAATTTGTGTGTGTGTGTGTGTCTGTGAGTATGTGTCAGTGTGTGTCTGTGAGTGTGTGTCAGTGAGTGTGTGTGTGTCTGTGAGTATGTGTCAGTGTGTGTCTGTGAGTGTGTGTCAGTGAGTGTGTGTGTGTCAGTGTGTGTGTGTGTCTGTGAGTGTGTCAGTGTGTGTCTGTGAGCGTGTGTCTGTGAGTGTGTGTCAGTGAGTGTGTCAGTGTGTGTCTGTGAGTGTGTGTGTGTGTGGTGTGTCAGTGTGTGTCTGTGAGTGTGTGTGTGTGTGTGTGTGTGTGTGTGTGTGTGTGTGAGTGTGTGTCTGTGAGTGTGTGTCAGTGAGTGTGTGTGTGTCAGTGTGTGTGTCAATGGGTGTCTGTGAGTGTGTGAGTATGTGTCTGTGAGTCTGTGAGTGTGTGTCAGTGTGTGTCTGTGAGTGTGTGTCAGTGTGTGTCTGTGAGTGTGTCAGTGTGTGTCTGTGAGTGTGTGTCAGTGTGTGTGTCAGTGAGTGTGTGAGTGTGTGTCAGTGTGTGTGTCAATGGGTGTGTGTGAGTATGTGTCTGTGAGTCTGTGAGTGTGTGTCAGTGTGTGTCTGTGAGTGTGTGAGTATGTGTCTGTGAGTGTGTGTGTCAGTGAGTGTGTGAGTATGTGTCAGTGTGTGTGTGTCAGTTAGTGTGTGTGTGTGTGTCTGTGAGTGTGTGAGTATGTGTGTGTTTCTGTGAGTGTGAGTGTGTGTGTCTGTGAATATATATATACGTATATATATATGTATATATATGTGTGTGTATATATATATATATATATATATATATACACACACACACACACACACACACGCGCGCGCGCGGCGTGTGTTTGTGCTTTAGGGTGCACACCCTAATGCAATAGGCTGCGCACGCCTATGGTACACAGTATTCCTCCTCCATGTTATAAGGTAGTTCAAGTTGGACCCTTAGTGGCCTCCCAGTGATTGCTGTCACCTAAGTCTCTCCGTTTATTACTATTTTAAGTCACAGGTAAGTGGTCCTTCATTTCCTCTATGTTTATCATGGCAGTTTAGTTCAATTGATCAAGGATCACCCGGCTTTATCACTCCTATTGTGGCACGCACCAAATCTACATGTTTCCTCGCCTATATAACCATATTCATGGCCCTGACAAGAGGCTTGGTTCTTTATGCTTACGTATACCCTATGTAAACATTAAAACATTTCCTTTTATTAAGATACATGCTCATTTACGCCCTTGTTTACGTATCTCTGGCTAAGTATTAGCATTATTTTACTGACACATTTGTTATGACTTCTTTACTAGTGCTTGCTTTTTGCCACATGAAACTTAATTATTACACAAACCCTTAATATCTTTCTTATTCATGCATCATGTAAGAACATTAATCAAGAAGACTAGGCCATACCATTATTCTGGTCACTCTTTAGGGGCGGAATTTATGACTTCATGCAGGTTTATACCAGTACACATAATTAAAACATCATGTCACTGAAGTTCTCCGCTATTATGGTACTGTCACGGTTCTCAATGGAAGTACTTACCACCTGCACCCAGATCCTAAAAGGCTGTTCTCCAGCCATACCAGAAGCTGGTACTAAGGAGTCCCATGCTGTAAATGGATTCCACACTGAGGACTTTGACTATGGGGACTCGCTTGATCCTGACAGTGAACATGAAGAGGTGTTCTGTTATGAATACGAACCTATTCACGCCCAGAGGGCGCTCTTGAAAGGGGGTAATGTCACGGTTCTCAACGCGACATCCAGACGAGGTCGCCCCAGGAGTGCCCGATAAGGGATTTGAACCTGGGCACTTCACAGTCCTGGTCCTGCTTCCTACCTCTGAGCCACAGCAGCTTTTGTCTTCCATGAGTCATTCCGGTCCTGTTCATCCTGGCATATCTATTACTCTGGGGGCTGTACCTTGACTTTGGCTGTGCTTCACCTGACCCTGATCAGACATTAGCAGGGTATTTAAACTCAGCCTCGCCCTGTGATCAGGTTCAAGTCTTTGATCCTGTTGTGTGTTTTGTACCAGTGTTCCTGTCATTTGATCTGCTACTTATTATTGACCCTGGCTTCTGACTTCGTTTACTCTGACCTCTGGCATCCCTTGACTTCGGCTACTCCTCGTCGTTCCTGTCCTCTGGCTTCCTTTGACCTCGGCTATCCCTTGACGATCCTGCTGTTTGAGTCCTTGCCTGTCCTGCGACCTGGTACTTCATCCTGCACAGCCCCTGTGCACAGACTCACAGTCCTGGTCCTGCTTCCTACCTCTGAGCCACAGCAGCTTTTGTCTTCCACAAGTCATTCCGGTCCTGTTCATCCTGGCATATCTATTACTCTGGGGGCTGTACCTTGACTTTGGCTGTGCTTCACCTGACCCTGATCAGACATTAGCAGGGTATTTAAACTCAGCCTCGCCCTGTGATCAGGTTCAAGTCTTTGATCCTGTTGTGTGTTTTGTACCAGTGTTCCTGATCTGCTACTTATTATTGACCCCGACTTCTGACTTCGTTTACTCTTTACCAGTATAGGAATTCCATCAAGCCTCATAAACCCCCCCCCCCCACCAAAAAAAAACCTTGTGTATAAGAATGTATGTTGATTGTTAATTGTATGAAATATGTTACCGTATCTCTCCTTTTTGTCCTCTTTATTTTAGAGGCCTATCAGCATTGTCGGTTCCGGCACACCACAGCTGACTTTTTCCATTCTGTATTACGCTATTCCTATTTTTCTCCTGATCACTCTATATGGCCATTGTGCCCCAAACACAAGTGTTAAGGCTTTTGCCTGGAATTGTGGGAGGGGCTTATTTACCTTTTTAAAGGGACTCCACACCTTCCCCTGTATCGTTTCTGGTCTAGCGATTTTCATGTCCCCTCCCTCCAATCCTTCTATACACTCAATCTACCTTTCTTTACACCTTAAGGGTAGGCCCTTTTTTATTTTACAGGCCTACCAGCATCGTCGGTTTCGGTACACCACAGCCAACCTTTTCCATTCTGTATTACACTATTCCTATTTTTCTCCCAATCACTCTATATGGCCTTTGTGCCCTGATCACAAATTTGTGTGTGTGTGTGTGTGTGTATATATATATATATATATATATATATATATATAATCATATAAGGGTGCACACACAGGTCTTAACTAATAGGTCTTAACTAGGTCTTAACTGTGGTTTAATATGAAAACAAAAACAAATTACATCTGCAATACGATCATTCAGACGGTCACGGCCCTGGCTCGTGGCTGCACGTGGTCGCACCTGGTTGGTGCAACCACGCTGACAGGTTGAAGGAATTATCTGTTCAGCAACGAGCCATGAGCCGACCCACGGGGCATCAGTCCCCTCCACACGTGGCCATTGGTAGCTCCGCCTCCAAAGGTCCCGCGAACGTGCGTGTGACGTCACAACATCTACACAAACGTTCTTGGGTCAGAGGACAAGCTCTGACCAATCACAGCCCAAGGATGGATATTTAAACCCCTGAATTTCCCTAGCTCATTGCCCTGTTGTGGTTTCCATTTCTGGTTCCCGAGAGTGCGTTTCCTTGTTATTGGTATTCCTGTTATTCTGACTTTGGCTATTCCTGACTATTCTGATCTGCCTGACTTGGCTTTTTTATCGATCTTGTGTATTTCTGGCTTCCTTGACCTCGGCTTTTCCTTGACCATTCTCTGTCTTTCAAAATATTATTCCGGCCATTCTAAGGACCGGTTTACGTTCTGTCTATTTTTCTATTCTCTGTAGATCGTCGGTTCCGATACACCGCATCCAACTTTTTCCATTCTGTATTACACTATTCCTATTTTTCTCCCCATCACTCTGTATGGCCTTTGTTCCCCGAACACAAATATATATGTGTGTGTGTGTGTGTGTGTGTGTGTGTGTGTGTATATATATATTATATTATATAAAATAGCAGTATATTTGTTTGTAATATTAAATCATTTTGAAAGTTTAGTCAAAAATATTAAATCGAGGCTTAGTAAGACATTAATGCATATAAAAGACCCAGTCATGAAGGAGTTAAATGTAATATTTGACTTCATCTGGGTTTTTGTGTAAACCTATCCAAGAATAACATGATAAATATTTTAGTTATTGCTTTCACACTTTTCCATTTCAGAACACACAGGCTGATATTAATTTAACCAGCTGTTTCTGAATCTGAAGCAATCTCCCTTCCTAATGTTAAATTATACAAGCACAAAGGTCTGCCTTCTGTGTCTGGTCTTGGTCTCTTCAGACGTTGTATAGAGATAGCAATGTAGACATTTTGAGCTTATGAACTTTAATTCATATATCCCAACAGAAATAAACAGGCAGATATGATTATAAAAATTCCATTTGAAATTTTTCATCATCTCTGACATGCATACTTATGTGAATATATTTTTTATTTTGTTTAATAGTTCGATTCCTTTAAAAAGAATTCTCTCTGAAAAGATAAATGATAGAACTTGGAATGCAATCATAAATAATTACAGGAAATATAAATAGATTGACTACAGCTGCATGTTTGGTTCCTACGGTGATAAAATGTTTAAATAATCTATTGGCCTGTAATCAGTGCTTTAAAGAAAAATAAATGAATATCATCAATTATTAATTATCTTCATTGATTGAGAAAAACAATGAACCTTAAGGAAAGATATCATCCCTAATTACTTTTATTCTTTCACTTTAGGCTAATTTGTCCTTTTGATTAATTGGACATTATGGAGATTTATTTTGTATCCTTTGTGACAAAACAGAGTTTATTGTGTACATTTCCAGATATTATTCATGATTAAAAAAATAAGGTTTTAACTAATTTATAGATTATATAGTCATAAAACATGCATATTTATGCTTTAGAGATCATGGTTTTTATTTACATGAGCCTGATGGTTTTTTACTGTTATTACAGCGAAATTACACTAAAATTGCTATTTATTAACTGGTGTAAATTTGATGTCATACCAATTAGCAATGGTTTCCATCTGAAATGTAAGTGCTCCATAGGACATTCAAGGAAACGTGCCTCCATTTGCTATCTATTAAATAGTGTGGTTTCATTGGCTGAAAAAAAATAAAAGTTAAATATGCTTAGTAAGACTAGGTGTAAGGTATTGTTAGGTGAGCTTGGAAAGTAAACTAACACTTTTAGCGCTATTGCTGAGAGTAAAGAGGTATGCTGAATGAGAGTAAAACCATTTACCATTTTAGAGTAAAAACATTTTAGTAAAGCCATTTCAGGAGATGTTCAGTTTCCTGGCCTTTAGTGGGATTAACCTATTCTTTAGTCATGTGGGCTGTAAGGACAGAGGAGATGCTCAGTCACACAGGTCCTTAACCCCTTCTCGACCGCGGACGTACCAGGTATGTCCGACAAAAAATGGTCATTAAAGACCTCGGATGTACCTTGTACGTCCGCGGCAATCTATGCACTTACCTGATCGCTGGCGATCCCCCGCTGGCGATTGCAATGTGGGGACTTGCCTGGCATCCCAGGCAGTCCCCCTGCGACTGATCCAGCCACCCCCTGGGTCATGGTATCACGGGGTCCTTGCGATCACATGGCCCGAATAGCAGGCTTGTGCAGCGCCTGCAGGGGGCCAGCCTGAGCTCTCCCTGCGTGGTGCTCCATGTAAGGTTTAATCTTAGGTAGGCTGGCCTACTTGTTTGGCAATCAGTCTGGCATGCATTTATGTCAGACTGACCTGTTAAT